GATGTTACAATATTAGTCCTAGTTGATATTATTTTATTTTATTTTATTTATAGACTTGTTGAATTCTCCTTATTAAATCACTCTCTCCGTCTAACTTTCTCTCCCAAGCTGTTATGGCCCTTACTCTCTTTTTCTAAAGTTTTTTGGAATAATTTTAGGCTACTATTTTTCTCTCTCTCTCTATATATATATACTAAGAATCATCTTTAAAAAATAGTAAGAAGCCCTGCCAAAAAATATGCAACTACTATAGCCACTTAAGAGAAGTTTTTATTGTAAATTACTCTCTCTTTTTTAGTTTAGCTTATTATCGAAAAAATAAAATCACCTTGGTTTGTTAGTTGGGAGCTTAAACTTGAAATCAATATACATTTAAGAAGTTAATAAAAGCAACAGAGAGAAGAAAAGGCTTGAAATCATTTAGCTTCCTTAAGTCTTCTGTTACAGTTAATACACTATATGAAGAAGACAAGGGAACAATCTTTGCACTAAGCCGTCGAGACTGGTATAGCCGGTCTGCACATTTAGAGGAAGTGCTACCTTAATCAAATAGTGATAGGTAGAGTAGGATAGGTAAAATATTCTTGTAGTATGCTCTAACAGTCCCCCTCAAAATAAGCATTTGAGGAGCAAATGGTTAGTTTGTCTCGTAAGAGGGAAAATCTAAGAGGAGACAATGGTTTGGTGAGTATATCAGCCAATTGATCCTGGGAATTGATATGAAGGATGGACAAAGCACCATGTTAAATATGATAACTAATAAAATGAAAGTCTATCTCAATATGCTTCGTGCGAGCATGGAATACAAGAATGTGCGCTAGTGAAATAACTAAAGTATTATCACAATTCACTAGCGTGGGTGATGTCTGTGGCAAAGATATGTCCTCCAATAAGTAATGGAGCCATATAATATCTGATGTGGAAGTTGAAAGTGCTCTATATTTCACCTCGGTCGAAGACTTAGCCACAGTTACTTTCTTTTTAACACACCAAGAGATAAGTGACGATCCAAGGTAAGAACATAAGCCAGTAACAGATTTCCTATCAGTCATATTTGATGCCCAATCAGCATACAAAATTGTAGTAAGCTGCATATTGCCTGGCTGTAGTGGAAGTTCATAACTCTTTGTGCCTTGGATGTATCTAAGAATGCGTTTAATAGCTAAAAAATTAGCATTTGTCGTGTTGTGCATATGTTGACAGAAGGAATTAACAACAAAGTAATATCGGGCCGTGTGATGGTAAGATAATAGAGGGAATTAGCTAGACGTCGAAATAGGTGCGAATCAGCAAATGGTTATTCGGCGGAAGCTATTTTGGACGGTTTGAGTGTAATATGCGTTGGTGCAGAAGTTGAGTTTATAAAGCCAGCTGAATGTAGTAAATCCATGGCATATTTAGTATGATGAAAAATGACCTTTGTTGGAGTTCTTTTTTACCTGAATGCCAAGGAAAGTGTCTACTGTACCAAGTTGTTTACGAGAATATGTTGTTTTGAGCATAAGCAGTAACCAATCAACAGTTGGAGCATGGTTACCAGTCAATAATAAGTCATCCACATAAATTAAAATATAAAGCTGTATATGAGACTTACAAAAAATAAGGAGTCATGGATCGGCCTTGTCACGACCCAACCCGACCGAGACGGATCCCGCTTGCATCGGGTCGTGATCCGGATTCAAACTGACTAAACGGATTCCAGGATCTGGCTTTGGAATTTGTTTCAGAACTTTCTTCCAAACATACAGACAGAAACAGACGCACAGAGCTACTATGAACATCAAAATACAGCGGAACATATCATCTATCTTTTTCATCCTAAAAAAGAATCATATGCAAATACAGCTTATGGTTTTCAGACTAAAATAAAAGCAGAACATAAAAGCCATGACTGTACAAAAATCAAAAGTACCAAATACCTATAATGGATCATACTCTGAACTTCTACTCCAAAACTTCCTTCCCTTTTCCAGAACCTGAAAACCACGCAGAAAATAAGGATGAGCTACAACAGCTCAGCAAGACATCAAAATCCTCAGAATCCACATCAAACACATCAGACAAAATCATACAGATCAGATCAACAGAATCATATATCGAATCAGAACAGAATAGAAATCATAATCAGAACAGAATCATACAGATCAGATCAAATCAGAATAGAACAGAATCGTACAGATCAGGTCAAATCAGAACAGAACAGAATCGTACAGATCAGATCAAATCAGAACAGAATAGAATCATATCAGAATCAGATCAAATCAGAACAGAACAGAAGCGTATCAGAATCAGAAATTATATCAAAATCGTATCAGAACATATCAAATCAAAACATATCAAAATTCAGAACAGATTCCCTGACCCTGACAGAATCTCAACGGATTCTGGCCCCTTATGCCTCCCTTCCCAGACACTCACAGAATCTCTCAGATTCTGGCCCCTTATTTCTCCCTTTGTGCTCATGGCACCAGAACGGATGTGCTTATAGCACCAGAACAGAACTTATCATCGGATCAGGAACAGAACTTGTTTTCAGATTTCAGAGCTCATTTCAGATTTTTCCCTAACCCAGACAGGATCTCACAGGATCCTGGCCCCTTATAACTCCCTTTTCATAGCACACAATCATATCATGTCATTTCAGAACAAATCCGGACAATTTCAGAAATCGTACGAAAATCCGGCGGTATAACGACATTATACGAAATTTACACAAAATTAACCAAATCAGAATTTTACCAAATTAACAGAACATTCACAACAACATTATAAGACTTTTATTCTACTGCCACAACATTTACAGACATCGTGAAAATTTACAGTCAATAGAAAACGCCGCCAAATCAAAACTATCCGGTCAAAAATCTCCAGAAAATAATTAAAACGTGCACACTCGGCACTTCAATAACATACCAAAAGTTACGCGATAAAAACTGAACCAGTCGGAAAATACGGACAAAATTCGCTAACGAAAATGAAATCCGGACAGAAAACTCGTTCAAACTTCACCGTTCTGAAAAATGAGAAAGGCGGAATGTGCCTTATCTTGCGTACACCAATTTCTTGAACTGTCTCGACGGACGAAAACGGCCTGGCATCGCCCAAAAATCAACTTTTTTCCTCTTTTCTCTCGACTTTCTCTCTCCTCGGAAATTTAAGATATTTATTTTGATTTTTCTCTCTCTTCAAAATGAGCTGATTTGAGCTAAATAACCTTCTGATCGGCCCGGCCGATCGCACGATCGTCCTTGACGATCTGAACAAAATCCCATCAGCTTAAGACGATTTCTCAGGATGATAATTAATTTTCTTGGACAATAAAAACCCCTATTCTCTAACTTGTGCCATGCTCTGATCGTCCCGGGATGATCCCAGATCGGCCCGGACGATCCTTACAGGAAAACTTTCCTGTAACTTTTGTACAGATTCTGGAATAAAATTTGAACTAATCGTCTCGGGACGATCCACGATCGGCCCGGACGATATGAACAAAACTGCTGTTACAGGCCTTGCTAAATACAAATCCAAACTGAATTAAGGATTGTGTGAGTTTGGTATATCATTGCCATGGAGCCTGTTCTAAGCCATAAATAGACTTATGAAGATGGAAAACATAATGTGGATGTTGAGTACCTGCAAACCTAGGTGGTTACTTCATAGAAACCTCATCATAAAGATCACCATGAAGAAATGCATTAGAAATATCAAATTGCAAGGTTGGCCAGTTATGGTGAACTGCAAGAAGAAGCAATAAATGAATGGTTGGTAGCTTTGCTACCGGACAGAATGTCTCATTAAAATTAATTCCATGCTCCTGATCAAAACCTTGTGCAACTAATCTCGCATTGTATCGATCTATTTATCCATCAGATTTGGTTTTTAATTTGAAGATCCATTTGCATCCCAAGATAGGTTTGTTGAGAGGTGGGGTTTGAAGACTCCATGTACCTTGTTTTTGAAGGGCCAAAAATTCGTCGGACATAGCTTTTCTCCAACACTCATATTTGAGTGGTTGATTGTATGAAGTAGGAGTAAAATAAGATTGTGGAACAGTAAGCAAATCAAATACAACTTTTGGCCATGTATGTCCTATCTTCTATCTTGTCTGCATAGGGTGGACCGAGTGAGGGGGAGAAGTATGTTGCAGTTCATAATGTGTAGTATGTGGAGGAGTTAAAGGTAAGGTAGAAATTGTAGATGTTTATGGATATATAGAAGGTGAAGTAGGAATGATTTGTGGAGTGACCTGCTATACAGGAAGAGGTGATTGAGAACTGAACGTAGGAATATAAATTGGAGTTAAGAGTAGAGGATTTTGAGGTGGCTGGTGAGATATAGACTTTGATAAGGATGTTTGTGAGGAATAAGGAAAATTATTTTCATATAAGACAACATGCCGGGAGACAAGAATTTTGTTTGTGTGAAGATTGAAACAACGATAACCTTTTGTGGACAGAGGAATAAACAAGAAAAATACATTCTTGAGAACGTGGTGATAATTTATCTTTAGACAAAGGTTGAAGCCAAGGAAAACACAAACAACCAAACATTTTCAAGTGACTATAGGAGGGAAGTTTACAATGTAAGAGTTAATAAGAAATATGAAGGATGCGAGCTTTAGTGGGAAGAAATTTGATGAGGTAGTTAGACGTCAAGATAGCTTCAGCCCAAAATTTGTGAGGTAGATGGGAATTATGAAGTAGAGCATGGGTAGTTTTAAGTAGGTGTCGATGCTTGCGTTCAGCAAGCCCATTATGCTCAGGAGTGTAAGGACAACTGAATTGGTGTGTAATACCATATTGAAGTAGAAAATTGTGAAAGAGATGACTAGTGTATTCACCTCCACCATCAGAGAAAAGCGTTTGAATTTTTGAATTAAAGCATTTTGGACTAGTGAGAAATGTCTGAATTTTAAGAAGGTCTCATCCTTGGAATGCATAAGATATATCCATGTATAGCGAGTATTATCATCTATAAATACAACATAATAATGAAAACCATGAAGTGAAGCGACAGGAGCAGGTCCCCGAGCATCAGAATGTATTAATTGAAAGGGTTTAAGTACATTACTATGAGATAAATGAAAGGGTTGTTTATGGCTCTTGGCCATATTACATGAAGTACATAAAAAAGTAACATAAAGAGTACATATATAAGGTAATACATTTGCTAATATCCGTAAAGTACTAATATTAGGATGACCATGCTGAGCATGCTAAGGTTCAGTAGAGCGAACAGTGGAATGAAGAGCTTCGAGTGACAGACATAGTGTGAACCGGGTAGAGACAATCTTGAGACCGGCCACGGAGAAGGATGCTATTGTCCAAAAGATCCTTGCTGAGGAAGCCCTGAGCATCAAATAAAATAGAGCAATTATTGTCAGATGTCAATTTGTGAATAGAAAGAAGATTGTGAGAGAGAGTAAAGGAACATGAAGTAGATTTTTGAGGCGAAGCTTACGATTTGGATCAGGTAAGGGAAGAATTCCTTGGCCAATTTGATGTATAGAAAGAGTTCCACCACTTGCCATAGAGACAGGGTCAGTTCCCACATAAGGTGCACGTTGCTGAAGTTGATTTGCATCTGATGTGAGATGAGAGGATGCACCAGAGTCTAGCACCCATTCAGTAATCGGAGAGGTTACCGAACTATTTGCATTCGTGAGAAAAGCACTAGGATTAGAGTTGGACGTTGTTGGTGCATATTGCATATTACAGCGATGCCAACAGTTAAGAGCAATATGCCCAAGTTTGCCACAGATTTGACAAGTCAGATGAACTGTGGAAGGAGTAGGAGTGCGAACATTGGAGCTCAGAGTAAACTGCCTATTATTGAAATTGCTTCTAGGAGTATTTGTTCTGAAGGGAGCTCCTCGTCCATGACCTGGCAAACCCGGCCTACCACGAGCTGCATTGGAACGAGTTGTCCATAAGACTGTGTGATCTGACAGTGGCAACATATCCTTTTGTTCATTTTGCAAATTTATTTCCTCACTACATAGAAGTGAGTACAAGGTATCCAGGCTGACCGTCTGTTGAGTAGTGCAAATAGCTGACTTAAATAGATTATAAATAGAGGGCAATCCATTTAAGGTGTGTAGAATAACATCTTCAACATCAATGTGATCTCCCGAAGTGGCAATATTGTCTATGAGAGCTTTGATTTGAGACATATATTGAGTCATAGAGAGCTCCTTCATTTGAATATGGTGTAATTCATTTTTAAGTTGAATTACACGTGACTGATTTGTTGGCTGAAGTCGTTTTTCTAAGGTTATCCAAATCTCATGAGTAGTAGACAAAGAAAGAATATAAGGAAGTACTGATGTAGAAATTATAGACAACAAGGCTGAAACTAAATTTTGATCAACAAGTTTCCAAAGCCGAAGGTCTTGAGAACCTGATTTTGTCGAAGATGCAGCAGGTGGTGAAATATTTCTGGTCAAATAACCTTCAAAACCATTTGCAGAGAACAACTTGAACACTTGCAGACGTCAAATAGGATAGTTATCATTCGTAAGAGAAGTAGATACAATATTCTTCAAATCGTTCATAAGAAACATCAAGGAAGATGGAATGGAGAACTTAGCCATCGATGCTGATAGAAATGAACCAGGCGATGCAGAAGAAGCGGAATCCTGTTTGGCCATTCGGAGGAGAAAAAGAAGAAGCAGGACAAGGCCTCAAGGCTCTGATACCATGAAATCAACCTACATTTAAGAAGTTAATAAAAGCAACATAGAGAAGAAGAGGCTTGAAATCATTTAGCTTCCTTATGTCATCTGTTACAGTTAATGCACTATATGAAGAAGACGAGGGAACAATCTCTGCACTAAGCCGTCGAGACTGGTATAGCCAGTATGCACATTCAGAGGAAGTGCTACCTTAATCAAACAGTGATAGGTAGAGCAGGATAGGTAAATATTCTTGCAGTATACTCTAACAAAACTATCAACTAAGAGGTTTTTTATTCGAGTCTAATATATGTGAGGTGTATGTATCTGTATTAATTGACCGACATATAATATATATATATATATATATATCATCCAACAAAATTAGATACGACGCCTATAATATTAATAATTGAGTTCTGACACCAAATGACAACACAACACATCCAACGTAATACAGTGGCAGTCAGTCTAAAACTGCACTCAATTACTAATAATATTTGGCTTTGTTATTTCTTACGCCGAGGAAAGAGTCGAGCTCGAAGAGGGTGCTTCATGACCATCGTGAACTCAAGCTTCTCCGAGAGATCCACCTCCACACCGGACTCAACCTTCCATTCGAATTCCTTCACAAGATTAGCCACAAAGAACTCCAAGTGTAGCATGGCGAGCCGATAACCCGGGCACATCCTCCTCCCCGCCCCAAAAGTCATCATCTTGATCTCTCTTCTCCCAGTTAAATCCAACCCTTCACCATCTCCTCCTGCCATAAACCTTTCAGGCCTGAACTCGAAGGGGTCCGCCCAGTTCCTTCTGTCCCAATTCACATCCGCCACAGCGAAGTTCACCTCCGTCCCCTTTGGTATCAGAAACCCACCCAGGGTCACGTCCTCTGTTACAGAGTGTGGCAACACGAAGTGCCCCGGCGGATGTCGACGCAGAGATTCCATAACCAAAGCTTTAAGGTAGGGCATCCTCTGCAAGTCGTCTTCCTCAATGATCTCTACGTCATCGCTTTCCATCAATGATTTGATCTCTGCCCATAACTTAGACTGCACGCACTGGTTCTTCACGAGCTCAGCCATGGTCCATTCGAGCGCTGTCGTCGTCGTGTCGATGCCACCAACGAGAAACTCGTGGCAGAGAACCACTATCTCATCATCCGTAAGTGCCCGCCCTCCTTCTTTGGGAAGTTTGAGATCAAGAAGTGAGTCGACGTAACAGTACTGAGGATCGGCGCTCTGCATCCGCTCTCGCCTCGCTCTAATCATCGGGAGGAAGATCTCTGCCTCCCTCTGCCTGCATCTTACTATATTCTCCCACCTCTTCCGGAACAATACCTTTGTAACGGCCGGAAAAACAGCGAAGACATTGAATGATGTAAAGGTTCTGAGGAGAAACACCATCGGGGATTCAATATCTCGGATTTCGCTCATGCTAAGCTTTTGCCCGAAGCACAGTAGCACGACGAGAGAGAATATGGCTTGCTGAAAGGTCTCTTTGACAACCACTGCGAGACCGGACTGGGTGCGAAGACTGTTAAGGAGGTGTTCCAGAGCCCAGCGGCGGCCGGGTGCGAAGAGGCGGATTCTGGATGAATGGAGAGTCTCGGAGGTAAGGTTGCGGCGAAGAAGCTGCCAAAGGGAGCCGTAGGGAGAGGAGGAGATTTCGTGGTTATTGGCAGTGAGGAGGCGGGCGGGTTCGCTGTCGGCAGGCGGCCGATCAGCCAAAGCGGTTCCGTGGACGATGAGGGCAGAGTGGGCGAGGTGAGGGTCGGCGATGAAGATGGAGGGCTTGGAGAATGGGGTGAGGCGGAGGGAAAAGATTGGGCCGAGGAGGCTGTGGAAGCGGCGAAGGATGTGGACTATCTCGTAGATGGAGCGGCGGCGGAAAAAAATGTGGATGATGAAGGGGAGAGGGGATGCGGAAGGCGGAAAGGGAAGAATTTTGGATCTGTTGTTGGAGTTAGCTCGGAGGAGGACATGCCTGAAGAAGAAATAGAGGCAGAGGGAGCAGAGCGAGAGCAGGATATACCATGATGCAGTTGGCTCCATCAATTTCGACTTCGATGAGTGTCTAATCCGATCGGTTTTTTATTACCTTAGGAACAATAGAATTTCGAGAACATTAGATTTATAGTCCACCTTGGGCCATTTTTTCCGTTTTTTAAGGTAACAGGTGCTTAAAGAGTTGGAATAAATTTATTTAGTAGTATGTATAAGTCATTTTTTAAAAGCTTTTCAAAAATTCCTAAGTTAAAAATATTTTTTTAGAATAAAAATTAAACATGAACGTTATTAAATACTATAAAATAATTATTGCATAAATATCTTGTAACTAGATCAAATGCTTTCTTTTATATTAGGTGTATTAAAACTTCGCTAATTGGCAATGGATCAAAGCGAAGCAATCAAGACACAAATAGGATTGACTAATTTAATCTATCATATTTGAAATTGGAGGGATTCCATTTAGAAGAAAATAAGCTTAGATGATTGCGATTTACTAGAGTGACTTCTAGAATGTAGAACTAATTATGACCCTACATGCCAGTTCGACATAGCCAATTGATTTAGCCCAAAGTATATGCAATCAAGATTCGGGCATATGTTTTGTTATTTGGTTCACTTATCTCCTTGATATATTATCAAGTGATAAGAGAATAAGAGAGAAGATTCTCTTAATGTTGATTCGATGCGATAATTATGATTCCTCATTTGAATTGGATAGCCCCTCATCATTAGAACTTAAAAATAGCGGTGAGGGGTATTTATTCTCCCTGATATTTTTACGTTATTCTTTTTTCAACGGGTTCAAAATATTGATGAAAAGGTATGTGGCATGAAGAAAATACAAGGTGATGAAGAAGACTACTTCAACCTCCTATCCATCGACAGAAATTATTAAAGGAAGTTTTAAATGAAGTAATGGGCTTTAAAGAAGAGGACATGTTTATTACCTAGGTTATTTCTATTAGTGCCCTTCTTTGGATGATGTTTTTATGAGGAGGCATCAAAGGTGAGTTTTTTAGGCCATAATTATTAGGTACAAAAAATGGGTTGGCATTTTATTTGCTCTATCATTTTTTCTAGTAGACTAAATTCTTATAAAGTAATGTGAGTTGATAAGTTGATGTTTGGGTTGCATTGCACAGATGTGATGGCTATTGAATGGTAAATTATGTCTTGAGACAAATGCTAAATTTATCCTTGAAAATTTTCCCGGTTAGTAACCCCCGCCCCCCTTCCCCTTCTCTCTCCTAAAATAAAGATGTTGAACTACTATATATATATATATATATATATTTAGCCCACTGTTATCCCCATTTTTTGAATGAGGCCTAAACTCACCACTTTATTACCTTTAGTACTTCGGTGTTCCACCTTTGACGTAAATTTAACCTAAAGGAAACATGGACGGGAGTGTATGGTTTCAAACCTAGATTAAACTTAAGTGGCTTAGGAACCTCCAAACCATATTTATGATGTGTTAGAGCCATCCCAAAGCTATTCCAAAGTCAAAGCTTAGGTTAAAATCCAAGTTTATTTTAGTTACAACCCATGCCACTCAATATGGCATTTCACTTCAAGTTTGAACCAAAACCCTTAGGAGTGATCTAAAAAGATTCAAAACCATCATCTAAGCTCTTTAATTCCCATGGGACCCTTAGTCAACATCCGGTTGACTATGTTTAACCATGGTCTCCCTTAAACCCTAAGTTTATACATATTATGTTTATTTGGTAAGATCAAGTCTTAAACCATAGGATTATCTCCCAATACCATCAAAAACACCTTAGAACATGTTTAAACCATTGAAGCCAATGGTGAACCTTGGTTGACTAGGTGGACCACATGAACTTTTTTTGAGAAAAATGACCATTTGATTGATTCAATCAATTTTAAACCAAGGCATGGTATTAAAAACCTTCCAAAAACTTTTATAAACTTGACCAAATTCATTGGAACCCATAGTGAGCTATGGTTCAACATGTATTAACCAATTGACCAGGTCTAACCTAAAATGTATAAAAACCCAAAAATATTTGAAATTATGGTGAAACTTAGGTCTAAGTCATAGGATGGTAATTTAATACCTCCAAATTAACCATTTTTTAGGATTTAACCTAGTGTGATCCAAACTTTGATGGTCTTTGGCCAATCATGGTTGACCAAAATGGTCATTTCACCATTTTACATGTAAATGGTTAACTATCTTATATCAGTGGACTCTATAGCCTATTAATGTGTCCCTAAGGTCTATAAGGACTCAACTTAACTTTCCCATCACTTTGACCAATTTGGGTTAGCCAATTCAAATGCAATCAAATGAACATGATTCCCTTATATCATAATTCAAATTAATTCAAGCATGCACCACTTATATCAAAATACCTTAAACTAATTTGAATCCCAGCCTATACTAATAACTTCCTAGATGTCCAATGTCCAAAATATAGAACAACCCGAACCATGTGAAACCATTTTGGACCATTTGATCAAAATTATATACAAGACTTCTAGCTCCTTTATGCCACCTTCCCTAAGCTTATTTGTTAGATTCAAATTCTCTTAACTGCTCATTATGGTCAACAATGGAAATTTTTAGCCATATGCATTGACTAAGGATTATAATTAGACTCATTTTCTCATTATTAATTGTCCTAGGTTTTCATATTCCTTATTTCCCGAGATTCCCCATTAATAGAGCCTTTAATCCCTAGTCTTTACCAACCTTCAAAAAACCATCGACTATTATACCAAGTAACCTTAGGTGAACCCAATTAAGTGGAAATCCATGTTTTGATCAAGACTTCCTCAATTGCTATTATCTAAAGGGGGATTGTTCTTTGAAGTTGGATGAGTGCAACCAAACCAAAAGGCCTTTGAAATCATCATTATATAGAGGTTAAGCACAATCCCAAGTTTAAATTTTTAGGGTCTTGGACCTTATGAAAGAAAATATCAATCCAAAAAAAAAAAAAAAAGAATCTGGCTTGGTAGTTCCTATTATTTGGATTTTCCTAGATCAAATTAAAAGAAATCGATCTCGTAGATTGTATGATCTAGGTCAAATTATACAAATGGTGAAGAATCTCTATAGGATGTTGAAGAAAAGATCAGGGGCATCTGTTCAACTCTATTATAAGGAATGGCTCTGATTTGATCACAATAATCTACTTACACCCTTTTCAAGGTTTAGAAAAGTTTGATCGAAACCATTTGATCAAAAATTGAATAGTCTTAAGTATTGCTAACATAGCATAGGGACCCACCATAATTTTAGGTATCCACTCTCTTGCCACCATATGTAAAGTGCTTCTTAGTTAGTAAGCTAATACTGAAAGTGGATTAAATTAAGAGAAAGAAATATAATAAATTAGCTAAAAGTTAAAAAAAATTAATCAAATCTACCAATCTACATAACCAAATTGAACAAATATCCCCTCAACAAATTCACTTTTTCATCATATGTCAAATAGAATATATTATATGGTCTTATTTTGCTTGTCAATTACGTAATTTCCATTAAACAAGTAATAAAATTATGTTTAATTAAAGCATGGATGATTACATTCTGGCAAAAATTTATCCCAATATGAATTAAGAAAGTTCAATTCTAGTTGTTAGACGAATTGAACTATGTTTGCACACCAAGAGGTGGGTGAATTGGTGTTTACAAAATTCCTTTTAAAAAATTATCCTTTTCAAAAGTTTATGATTAAACAAATAATTTGATAACACCAATCTAAACAAAAACTTTATTTTAACATTAAGCAAACTTGCAAAAAAGAAATTTATATTTTTAGGCTTTCACTTTCTAATTTTTTTCTTTTTGAGAAAAAAAATATTTGATTTTTGTAAAAAAAGAAAACTTACATATTAGTGATATGCAATAAGTAAGATGCAATAAATAAAAATATAGAATAGTAAATGTAAACTCAGGAACAAATATACCATAATTTTATAGTGTTTTGGTAAATCTTAACCTTAGTCCACTCCCCGAAGTCCACCACTCTAAGTACTACACTAACACTAGTGGCTCTCCTATTTCACCCATAGTAAGGAATATATGCCCTTACAAATCACTTCCACCTCCTTAGTATGACAAAGTAGCCAAATATCTTTCACATTTCTGGTTCGATGGAGAAGTTGAATCCCTCTCACCTCAGTGCGACAAAGAAGCTAAATCCTTTTAACCTCCTTAATGTGGCGAAGTGGGAAGATCCTTCCCACAAAGAGATGCTTCCCAGAGTTTCCCTCATGCAACTACATTGACCTTGGAGGATGAAAGCGCAATATTACTAAACAACTAGTGCAAAAATCCCTCTCACACACTCTGTTGTCCCACAATAATCTTTTCCCTCAAGATCTAACCTCTATCTCTCCAAAGTAACTCTCCCTCTTCAAACCCTTCTTACAAAAGATTTCCCTCAGAAAAATGATAGAAAACTCTCAATCATGTTGAGAGATATTTAAATATAAAGGGTTCCAAAATTTCTAATTTTCAAGTTAGATGAATATATTTGTATAGTACAATTATGAATCATATTGTATGATTAGTTCAAAATAGATGTTCATTCAATATAAAGGAAAGAGTCTTAGTATAATCTATTTGAACCATATATACTGATTATATAGTATGTTACTTAAATTGTATGGTATAATTAGTATATTCTTCTTAGAACCAAAAAGGAATGGCACATGTGTATATATGTGCATCCCGTGTGTGTAAGAGCATGGTCGCCAAGTTAACATACTCCCTTATATGACTTTAACTCAAGAAATATAAAAACAAAGAGATAGAAATGATAGAATCTTGAAAATATCATCCTATTTTACACATTCTTGAGCCTTTAATCTTTTTTTTGTATGGTGTATGACGTACTTGATAAATTAGTACACATCAAAGCAGATATGCAATATAGGAACTAAGAGAAAAACATAGATAATCAATGATATTTCATATTCTCAAAATCACAACCTCAGGATCCCAGATTACAATAATCTCCCCTTTTTATGATAGCAAATATTATCTGTTGAATTTTTAAGTCAGTTTTATTTTTTGCTAATCTCGACTTAACTAAGTGAATCATTTTAAAATTATGGAATTTTTTAAACAATATTTAAATATAGAATAATAAAATAACACAACAACACTTTTGTGTCCACTTT